GTGTTATCTGGGTTGGTTGGAAAATCGGTGATCCTTAGATTGCGATGGATTCGGAAAATATTATTAGTTGTTTATTTACAAGCTTAGTCGGACTTTTAAAAATAAGTCAAGATTTTCGAAGAAAACCTCATCTCACCTAACCGTAACGTTCCTTCGATAATTATTATTTAATGCGCTACAGTTTACACCGACACAAAATTACTTGATACGCATACTAAATTGGTACGATACTCCTTTTGCAAGCGTATCGTACCAGTTCAGTATATATGCTATCGTTTACACCGCTGGACTAAATCAATTTAGTACGAATATAGTACCTCATACGCGTATCAAACGATCGGTGTAAACAAGGCCATTGTAGCGGAGGCTTTTATGGCTGCAACATGCTCCTGTTTGTCCCAACGACCAATGCCGTCACTTAAATCGTAAATAAAATGACGGTATTGGTCGTTGGAGCAAACACGAGCATGTGGGGGAGGGGGACATGCGACGCGAACAGACCTTACGGCTCTATCGTACTGTGGTGAAAGCACGCGAACCACAGGAAACGCTATCGGCATCTATCTATCTGCTACTCCGGTCTCCGCTGACTTCACATCCGCTTAACGTTTGCAACGCACGTGTGTTCATGTCCCACCGTGGGTTTATGTCCGCTAATTGTACGTTCCGGCAGTAGTGTGGAACGTATAAAGGACACTTGATCGAATAAAAGGATATCGAAAGGATGGTAAGCGCAAGCTCCCCGAATTACGTCGCAGTTGTGACTTGCTCCGAGCCGTAACCTGCGATTTTCACCGCCGACTCGATGCACACGCGCAAGCGTCGCAATTTCTTGCAATTTTACGTTACTGTTTTCAGATTCTAGTTCGAGATCAATATTTTTCAAACCGTAACGTAGGCTCCGCTTGGAATTATTTTGTATACGATTGCATATCGTTTACGAATCTTCAAGTTAACCTCCAATCGGGACACATTGCATTGTGTGTGTGCAGTGTTTTCTCTAAAAATAAAATAACAATACAGTGCTGGAAATGGCAGTCGTAATTAGCAGACTTTAAAGACGCTCGCGATTTATCGCGAAACGAAAGAAGAGTTGCGACACTTTTCTATCTAGACTGTGGCTATTACGTTACAATGTTAATTTAAATTCCTCATTTTACAGTCAAAGCTCTTCATCTTGTTCGAGCATGCCGCGGGATACGCCGTCTTCCGCGTCAAGCAGTTCGAAGAGATTGGAATGCTGTTACCGCAGGTGGAAGAGTCCGTAAACGATCTGTCGCGTTTCAACAGCGTCGTAAGCCTCAATGGATTCTCACCTTTCAAGACGGCGCTGTCCGCTCTGGAAAATATCAACAGTATTTCCGAGGGGATCGTCACGGAGGACCTGAAGCTCTTTCTGGACTCCTCCTTCGGGGGTTTCGGCAAACAGGACGTCACCCTCGGCGTCGCGGATCCCAAGCTCGGCGCCAACATCACCGAGACTCTGGGCATCAAGTGCGACTGTTCCAACGTCATTTCCGAGATCACGAGGGGAATACGACTCCACTTTCACAATCTGGTGAAGGGCCTCACTTCTCAGAACTCGCAGACTGCACAGCTAGGCCTTGGCCACAGCTACTCGAGAGCGAAGGTTAAATTCAACGTGAACCGCGTGGACAACATGATCATCCAAAGTATATCCCTGTTGGATCAGCTGGACAAGGATATCAACACATTCAGCATGCGTATACGGTACGGTGTATTTGTTGAATAAAGTAGAAAGTAAGTAGATCGGAAGGTACTCCAAGATGATTTTACATGTGGTTCTACAGGGCGTTTTACTTCGTAAACCAGTCTTCTACCATGAGATATGGATTATTGACCGAAACTGCAGCCAACCTGGGAAAAAATGGAAAAATCTTATTGTATTTTGAGAGATGTAATTAGATATTACACGATTGAAACATGTATAACGAGATTGCTTCCATTTTTCCAGATTTGGCTACAGTTTTGATCGGTAAATCCATCTCTCGTGGTAAGAGACTTGTCCACGCGTTATATCACAAAATAAAACTCACCCTGTATATTTTCATTCCAGGGAGTGGTACAGTTATCATTTTCCGGAGCTTTCGAAGGTAGTGCCAGAGATTTATATGTACGCGAAAGTGGCGCAGGTGGTAAAGAACCGGAAGCAGCTGACGGATGAAAAGGTGGCGATGTTGGAGGAAGTTGTGATGGACAGTACAAGAGCCGGAGCTATCGTCAACGCGGCCAAGTCGTCCATGGGGATGGACATAAGTCCAGTTGACTTGATGAACGTCGAGGTCTTCGCCGGACGCGTCGTCGCATTGGTAGACTACAGGAGGAAGATGGCTGAATACTTAACGTCGAAAATGGAAGGAGTGGCGCCGAATCTGGCGACTTTAATCGGAGACCAAGTCGGCGCCAGATTAATAGCACACGCCGGGTCGCTTATCAATCTGGCGAAGGCACCGGCGTCCACGGTTCAAATATTGGGAGCGGAGAAGGCCCTGTTCAGGGCGTTGAAGAGCCGCGGGAAGTCGAACACTCCGAAATACGGTCTCTTGTTCCATTCCACATTCATCGGTCGTGCCGGCACTAAAAATAAGGGTAGAATTGCGAGGTACCTGGCGAATAAATGTTCCATTGCCTCTAGAATCGATTGTTTTACGGAAATACCGTCGAGGATATATGGTCAGAAATTGAAGCAGCAAGTGGAGGACAGGCTAGTCTTCTTCACGACTGGCAAGGAGCCGAAGAAAAATTTGGAAGTGATGCGAGAGGCACTGGAGGAAACGGCGCACATGTTGGCCGCTCAGGAAAAGGAAGCCGAGCAGAAGAAGAGCCGTGGTAAAAAGAGAAAGCGCGACTCGCTCGAAAACGGCCAGGAAAATGGCGAACACATTGAAAACGGCGAAGTGAATACCTCGTTGCAGAAAAAGAAGAAAAAGAAAAAATCGAAACAGATCGATGGCGAATAAAAAAGAATTATCTTTTGTGTTTAAAAAAATGAGACAAAGGGTGCTTTTCAGCAAGAGACGCTGCGTAACACAGAGAGTCGTTGTTATAAAATGACCATCCTATCCTCGTTTAATAATGGCAAACAACTCTGTGTTACACAGTGTCACTTGTGTACATTGCTGGAAAGCACCCGATATATATTTCTTTATACATAGACTTGTTCGAAAATATTCCTCCGAAATTTTCACTTAGTAGTTTGTAATCATTTTCTTCTTTGTATTAACATAATTAATAAAGTTATGTTTACATTCTACATAAATGATGAACGATGTATCCGCATCCTTCTACAGATTTATACATTAAAAGACAATGTACAGCGCCTTTTTACAGTAATACAAAAATATAAAAATTTCAATAAATTTCCTATGGTCGGTTTTTGTATCGAGGGGAGCCGTACGTATTTTCTGTATTGAAGGAAATCTTATACATGAAGCTCTGAATGTATACATCGAACGTAATTACTAAACGACTTACGATCACAGATGATTAACGCGACCAATTGTATAACTTATATCGTAAGAAAATAAAATTACATTTGTAAACAAGAGAAATTTAGTTGTCCCTGATTGCAGCTTCCTCTATTTGATAGGAATAGGAAAGAAGGTAACAATAATAGGAAATGGAAGTACATGATATACGTGTGTTAACACCAGCACCAATTAGCATTTAATAACGATAAATTTGTAAAGTATAGATATAAATACCTAACCAATAATTATACAATCAAATTATTAAATTCTAGCGTAGTCTCAGAGTCTCAAAAAATTAAATGAGCTATTTAAATATCGAATCGCTATAAACACTAGCAACGCATACCATCCTGCCTGAATTACATTGGAAAATTAATAATCGTTGATCTATCAAATACAAATTTCATGTAAACTCGTATATTTTATACATCACATTGAATTATATGTATATTATATTTTATACGCGCGACTAATATTGATATGTATCAATATAATCAACACATTCCAAATATTTCATTGCATAATGCAATATTGATACAAAATGTATTAAAGATTTCGTTGTTGTAAATTTTCATGTGAATTTTCAAGTTCTTTTTTTTGTGATATTTCACAAGATGAAAATTTCGAGAAATGGGCCATCTCTCTCTCTCTCTCTCTCTCTCTCGAGTTGATAAATCTAAACATCATGAACAATATTATCGCGCGTAAATAACAGAAGAATGAAACGTGGGAGTTTAAACGAGGAATATTGCAGAATTCGCTAGCTAGAAGAAAAACTAATAGGTGCAATCTCGCGACCTGTGTTAACTTCGAGTTTTACAAAGGGTTTTATATAACACTAAACTGTACACGCACCCCCGTAATAACGCTTAATAATCGGCTGATGATCCTCCATGCGTTGAATTGACTAAAACAACTTTTCTCTTTTTATATATTTGTACAATATATTTTCATATTTGAAAAATATATCTCCCTGCCTATGTTGTTAAACATCCTGCCTCATATAAAATGCTCAAATAATGGAAAACGTAAAGGGCCATTCGCCCTTTACATAATTCAGTCTCTGGTACTCGCGTGAAAGTTCGTCTCTAGCACATGATCTCTCTTGAGTCAACTTTACAGGGCAAAACAGAACGAATGGACAACTATTCGACATGATACTCTTTTTTTATATAATTACAGAATGGCTTCTATTACACCAATTGCTTCTGAGGTCTGAAATCTCGTAATATTAATACTACATTAATTTTTGTATACTTTTATAGAAATAGATAATAAAAACCATTCTCATAACTTGTGTATAACGTCTAGCTTTGCCACTGAGCTCGAAATAATTTCAGCTTGTAAATCTTCGTCCGCGTATTGCTGTTAAAAATTGAAAGATAAATACAAAGCATCTCCTTCTCTCCTTTTTGCTGTCAACAGATATAATATACACATACGATCTTACACAATAAAATTTCAATAATATCGTAATAAAAACTAAAATTTCTATGACAAGTAACTTAAAATATCTCAATATCATGCAGCAAAGATAAACTAAATTAAACACAACAATGTGTGATGTGAATGTGATTTTATATATATATATATTTATATAACAAAATAATGATATATTAATTACTGCTTAGAAGTAATTACGACGTGATGATAATTCCATAAACATTTATCGAAGGATATGCATTATTTCATTGTTAGTAATATATAATCAAATGCTAATGATCTTTCGTCGCTCAGTTTACGACAATTGTATAATATCATAATAATAAAGATTATAATTTTCTTTTAATTCATGTTAAAATTACGCAATTAATTCTTAAACAATTGACATTGGATCGTAATCGCGTAAGTAATTGATGAATCGAGCACGAAAATTTTCTCACGCCGCGCATATTTGTGCACAGATTCAATTCACGTTTCCCACAATAAACGAAATACTAAAAATACGCCTTCCTATCTACATTTTATTTTCTACGAGAGAGAATCAATTAATCGTAATTTTTTCCACAATAATCGTAAGAGGGAAGCACTTATAATAATATCCACTAGTGATTCATTTTCTCTTCACAAAACTCCTATGCTGCCGTTGTTTTACATACACATCTGTAAGACTATCGCAATTGTTATCCGTCGTATCGTCTATTAATTATAAAAGCATCAACTTCCATCCATTGTGTCCACGTTCCAGACAATGTACACATGATGTTCAAGTGAATGCGACTAATTAGATTATGTTCTCTCGAGTTTTTTTCACAGTATGTATATATTGTTATGATACATTTTATCTATATATAAGGCATAATCCCAATTCTTCCAAGATCAATATACATTATGTATAAAATACACACGGCAATAATTCCTGCCAGATTTGTTCCCGCATAATACACAAATAGTACGCATATTACAGAAATTACATGCACTTTATGAGTTACAGGAATGCTGCTTGTCGACGCCTTTGCGTTATTGGTTTAGACCTATACTTCTACTGGCTGCCTCGCAATAATTAAGAAAAAAATGATTGATTTCTTTATAATATATATCATTTGTTATTATTGTACATTATTTGCATTTATGCATTTTTCTGCATATTGTTTTCTTATATATCCATTTCAATTATTAAGAATTTGTATCGCGGTATCGAGATACTTCTTGTATAAATAAAAACTACAAAATACCAGCAAATGCTTCAATTTATCCTTTCGAACTTTTCTGAACACACATCTTTGACATATAACGTGTTTTCCGGAACACGTTATGTCTAGAGCTGAACGCTAATGGAAAGTATTTCGAGATGTACATATATTTATATATAATTGTTTCATCTTGTTATTTAAATTAGTAGTCCAGGTGAAAAAATTTAAGATTTACCATCGTCAATTGAATCGATCGAAATAAACGAGTTTCTGCGTGAAGCTCAAATTCTTGCGTATTGTGCCTCGAGACTTTGTGTTCTAGGTCGAATCGCCCGACAATCCTTTATTGAAATGCAGGAAAGAATGTTGCATTGGGTTGCTGCTGCTGATTCTGTGGTAGAGATTGCACCGGTGACATGTATCCCATTCCTGCTGCTACAGACATACACAATTTCATCCTTACTCAACGGCACGTTCTCGTGTACGAATTAGAGACGGTGTTCCGACTGAAATAGCTAATTTGGAGACAATTGGAGATTCACAGACGATTACGTTTCACTGTACATTACACTATCGCAGATTTCCATCAATCGGAAAACGTTAATTTCATCGCACACAATGCTTGATAGAAGAGCGACTGTAACATCAATCTAACAGGCCGTTAAGAAATTACTTACGTCCTATCTTGATTTGATGTTGCGGGCTATTGCTAGCCAATTGATTCATCGTCGGTGCTGGGCCAGATTGTTTCGTTTTACTACCCATTATGTTATCGAGATCGATATTCAACCCCGTACCAGTCCAGGTCGAGCCGACTTGCGTAGACGACGTCGTATTACTAGACATTTGATTCCTAGTATTGATGGACGTAGGTGGAAGAAGATTCGTAATGGGTGACAATCCGATTGATCCTAAGTACGACACTAATTTTAGTTCATAGCATACGTTGCAATTGTTATTTCATATATGTACACGAATCTCTACAGAAAAATTTTCAACACAAATTTATATTTTAATAAAAAGTAATTTCACTTCTCTGCTAAAATGTACAATAGAAAATCAATTTATTTTTATTTCCTGTTACAATCCTACGTATTGTTTAATTCATACTCTACAAAGTGCTACAAATAAAAACATTCTATTACAAAGAGATCTGTTAAATTGTATAAAATCATACAACTTATGTTACATATGTTAAACATTTTACCCTACGGAAAATCAAATGTTCTCAGCGTTGTTACAATCGTTAATATGTTGGTAACGCTAATATACGTACGTTGTCTGATTTGGGTATCAATTACACCGACAACAAAATCTTTTGCGAATAAACTAACATAATGCATTTCGTACTTTGTAATGCTCGCAAATAGAAAAATTAGATTTCTGAAAACAAATGTATTCCACGTGAAAGTGTACATACATAATATTCGTATAAATGATTGTGATACTGTAAGAGGATGAAGAGTTCTTTTCAGTAATGTCGATTGTCTCTCGATTCATCTACGCGGAATTAAAAGTGGAGCTTATAGTCAAGTCGATGAAGGACAGCACTTTCGCGTTTAAGGCCCTGCAATTTGCATCGTGCTCGCCATTGACGATATTCTGCGACAATAGGAGCCACTCTCTTATTTCCATCAGTGGCTCGGACAATTCGTCGACGACGGCGTCCTTCGGCACCGCGACAAGCACAGATCCGATGTTTTCCGTAACTGCTAATCTCACCGTCGCCTCATCGTGATTCCTCACCGTCCACAGAAGCTCCAGTATCTCTTTGCCCATCTTCGGCGCCAGCGGACAGTTTTGCGCCGCCAACATTATGGCGGACAACGTTTTCAGGTAGCGTAGCAATAGAATATTTTCCTGATCCGAGTAAATTTTCAGGCCGTTCAGCCTGAGGACGTCTCGACGGCCGAAGCCGTGCAAGAGTGGATAGAAAAATGAAGATGCTACATTTCCGAAGTGATTGACGCGCAACCTGGGGGACTTGGAGTTGTGCGCGAACCGTCTCGTACGCGACGCGATTCTTTTATCGATAACTTCCTGCCAGTCCACGGACTGATCCCCGGACGCTTTCAGGTCGACGTCGAAGTCCTCGTCGTACCACACCTGCTGTCTTCTATTTTCCCGCGTATCGATAAAAAGTGATACGCGGCTCGGAATGCGTTTCTTTTTAATCGCCGCCTCTACGTCGGCGCCGTCCGCGTCCCCGACGTCGATTTTTGACAACTGCCGGGCAGACTCGGCTAATATATCCAGGAACAGCAAGCGATGGCTCAGCGAGTACTTGCCGACGTCCTCGTAAAACTCCCCGCAGAGAAACTCGGCGCACTCCTTCGGCCGCACAGTTACAATCGCTACGCAGCACTTGAAGACCACGAGCTCGAAGTTCTCCATGTAGGATTGTTGCTTCAGCGTGACGAGAAGCTGCAGGAGCTCTATCGCGAAGGACGCGTCGTCGTGGGGCAACTGCGCCAATATCAGTTCCTCGCAGGCCAGCAGGGATTCGGAGAAGACGTTGGGGTCGGAGTACGTACGTTCGTCCGTTAAATTATCGCGCAGATCCCGCAGGTACGTCGGGCGCGCCTTGCTGGCCGGCTTGTCGTCGTTCATATCGTAAGGCACCAGGTCGTCGTCGCTGTCCAGATCTGAAGCGTCGTCGCGATTCGGTTTCGCCTGTTGCCTCGTTTCATCCTTCCTCGTCAGATCGTCTCTCGTCGCGTCGTTTTTCGACGGACGTGCACTCCCTTCGATCTTCTCGCTCGACGGACCTTCAACGCCGGGCAAGATACCGCAGTCGACGCCCAATTCGTAGATCTTTCTGCTGCACAGTGACTCGAAGACGATACCTCCGGTCGTTAAGTCGCCGCTCGGCTCGCGTGGTTCCCTCGTATTCGCAGTCGTCGCGGGCGCGTTCAAATCCTTCAGAGATCGAAGCAAGTCCAGCACCTGCGCAGGCATGCTGTCGTACTCGAACTTCAATTTCGGCGCGTCGTCGGAATTGCATAGAGAATTCATGCAAATCTCGGCGACCATCATGCCCATCGCTCTTAGAGCTACATTCGTGGACTCGAGATGGACAGATACGCCGGAGAACAACAGTTTCTGGCACTGGTCTCTCTCGGCGTGACTCAAAAGATCCTTACAACTCTTCACGGACAGAACAATCAGCCGCGTGATGTATTTGTGCTGCTCCGCGGACGCATGATGCAAAATGCTCCCGTCCCTCCAAATTTCTAAGAGCTTGATTAGCAATTCCGACAAAACATGGTGCTCGTTCGGGACAGACGACAGATAGGAGACCAAGTTCACAGCTAGCTTCTCGTCCTCGTAATAACGCATCAAGGGAATTTTCGTGGTTAAAATGTATCTCCAGTTCGGCTCTGTCAACAAATTTCCGAAAATAGAACGCACACCGAGCTCGGAATCGCAGCGCTTCAGGAACAGAAGGGCTACGTGCTCGACGGCGGCCGAATCCAATCCGCGAAGCACGTCCTCGACCAGACGCCGTTCGTTCTTCGCGCTTTCGAGGCACCACGCTTCTAAGATATCGGCGAAGCACGTGAAATCACACGGCTTCAAGTTGACTATCATCTTGCTGACTATAAACGAGAGCGCGGACGTTCTCGGCTCAACGCCACGTTTGTAAAACTCATTCATGAACGATAGCGCGCAAGATATGTGAAAACAGAGCCTTTTCACGTAAACCTGTGGCGTGTAAGATCCAGGCGTGTCGAGCTGCAGTTTATTCGACACGCGACTGGGCAGGGAGATCAAAATTTGCGTCGCACTTCGCCAGGTCTGCTCGAGTTCCTCCTCCTGCATGTGAGAACGCACTTCGTCCCTACTCGCGTCCAGTATCCCCGAAAATATCGCCTCGCTCTTTAACAGGCCGTTCAATAGCACTGAAATGACGTGCGTTTTCCTCTCATCCTTAGACTCGCTTAAAGCGACAGTTAAAGCTCTCAGAGCTTCCGACAACATGAAGACCGTTGCGCCGTCGACGACGATCAGCTTCTCGATCGAGGGATCCAGGCCGTCCGCGTTCAGCGGCCAATTGCGATCGAATTTATCGATTATCTCCTCCAAAATGCGTCCGTACAACACGGCGTCCACTCTCGCGTCGCAATCGAGACCGCTGTACTTCTGCGGGGTAACGGGCCCTGGTAAAAATCTGATGTAGTTCGAAACGGACGATCTTATTCTCTCCAAGTCAGCGCGACTTTTAACGTCGCACATTGCGCACAATACTTCCAATAATTGATTGGCGGCATTATTGGAGAGACTCTCGATCGACGTAACGCTCTCTTCGTATTTACAGGCTGCAAGGAAAGGACTGTCTTGGGGGAATTACATTAGCTTTGAACTCCAGGGATATATACTTGGCACACGGATTTCTTTCACGGAAATGCATGCAATAGCGATTAATGATGTTAGAGTTAGCTCGGTTATCCCAGTCTCGTTTAATCTCGGGATCTGTACGATATATCATGCGTCAAATTACACAAATATCATGTATGTACGTGTTTACATTTGATTTATAGTTGCAAAGAAACATCGCTAATAAAAGTCTTGCGTACTGAAGAAATCAAACTATTGCCTGTCAACCGCGTGCATATTTACCTGCGTAATCGACGGTGCCGGTAGGTGCGTTGCTCATCCCCAAGAAAATGTTGGAATTATTAGAACTGTTTATTCGCCCGTCAGGTAGCCTCATAGTGGGGGCATTCAGACCATCCAGGTCCGACAAGAGATCCGTATTCGATGTCACTAAAAGAAATACGAAATTATTTTCGTTTATAAAATGCTTAAATATGTAAATTATTTGAAAATATCTGTCGAATTAAAAATTTCTGTGCAATTATTCCTACTGGTCTTGTAGCTGACGTATGGCCGTCTACCTGTATTATTATTTGTGACTTGATTATTGAGACCTTGCGACGATAAGGAATCAAACAGATCGTTCGACGTCTTTTGAACAACCGGGGTCCCGGTAAACGCCGTCGTGCCCGCCGTTTGCATCGTATTGGCGTACATCGCGTTGCTGCTATTCACGTTATTTGCTGCCGGGTTATTCCCAGTCGGTATCGGTACGCCCATCAGATTGATCTGCGACTGCGGCTGACTTGGTGGATTGGATATGGCGACGTTGTTAAAGGCGGACGTGAAATCGGCAAACTCGTCGTTGCTCTCTTTCGTCTTGGCCGTCGCGGGATTGTTAAACGCGCTAGCAAAATCGCCGAAGTCCGCGTTCGCATTTTGCGGCTGAGCGAACGATTGGGCGCTCGCCCGCGGATTGAAGTCGTCGTCGTCTAATCTACTATTATCACTCTGCGACTCGAAAATGTCGTTTAATATGTCATTTTTGGTCTTCTGCTGACTCGTCGGCGAGGATAAACTATTATTTTGTTGCACCGGTGCGCTATTCTGCAAACAGAAAAGGACACGCATTCCAAGTGATTTGTAATTGTCAGGTCTACGTGCAGCTACGCGATGCGTCTCATATCGGACACGGAAGATCCAACACGACGGCAAGATAAAACTTACATTAGATTGCTCTTTTCCATAATTCGCTGCCGCTCCGAGGTCTACTTTCTTGATGGCTCTCGTAGTCCGTGCCGGAGACGCGTTTGTAGAAGGTACTGACGATTGAGCAGTTTTGTTAACTTGATTTATATTGTCCAACGTATCTCTATACTCTCTCCCACTTTTCTTTGGGCTAGTATCATTGTCCGAGTCTTCTCTCTCGCCGTCGTCGCTGTGATATGAAAGTTGCGTAAAGAAAACATTTACTTGAGCCGCAACACGCTGCTTCCTAACGCTCGATATGCAGAAAGGCAATTATTAGACGCGTTACCTGTTGTTGGCATCCTCAAACCCCTTTCCGCGATTGTCCCAGTCATTGTACGTCTCTACGCCGGACTTGGCCCACTTGGGACTGTCCATCCATCTGTCCCCGCCCCCAAATCTCATCCCCATTGCCTCGCTCGATAAGCCAACGTACTTGTCTTTATTCTTCTTGGCCTTCTTCCTCTCCTCCCTAAGCTTATCGTCGTCCTGGATGAAGTCGATTAATTCCCTAACTTTGTGTCTAATGTTTATCCCCTGATCCTTCCCGAATTCGTCGATGCAGGTGTAATTCTCTAGAGACCTGAGGTCGTAGATGTGCTCGCGTGACGACGTGACGACCCGCTCCGAGCCATTACGGACTAAGTAATTAAGGAGGAGCAATGACTGTGGAGAAAAAAATAGAGATTAATGAAGCGAGCCAACAAAGCACCGGACGGAGAGCGAGACGCATTTGCATTCGCGTGCAAATTGTTTACTGCTTTGTAATATTGACATTGCGATCCCGCTCGCGCCATCGTCCGTGCACGGAGAATTTTCTCTTAAAATTTATCCTGAAAATCGTGTCATCGTGGGACAACGCGGCGTTTCGACGAATTTTATGAAGGTTTTGTGAAATTTTACTATACTTTTTACTAGTAATCATACTTGGCATACATTTCGCTAGTAAAATGTATGGTAAAACTTCAACAAACTCTTATAAAGTTCTTCAAAATGCCACGTTGTCCCACGATTACATGATTTTTGGGGTAAATTTTGAAAGAAAATTCTCTCTCCGTGTACAATCAAGTTTCTCGTTTCTCCTCGATTGTGGCGTAATAATCGCGAGAGGAAAACAAATCGCGTACCTTGTACGTTCGCCGCCAATTTCGCTTGTTCTCTTGCAACATCCTTTTCCAGAGCATGGACATCACCTCTGGAAACTGCTCGTACGTGAATGTGGCCTGAGCCAGTTCTTGCATCATCGCCCCTTGAAAAGTAAATTGCGTTCCGTGTAAATTAATTTGCAGGTGCTCCCGCACGTGAGATGCATAATGTTAAGGCGCTTATTGTTGCACGTGATCGTACCTGTGGGACCCCACGCGTCGTCATTGGTCGCCTCCCGGACTTTGGCCTCCGTTTCCGTGTAATTCATCACAACATTCGTCCTGCAAACGGCAAGTATCGTAATGTAATTTCTCCGCGACGGTTGTGCGCGAAGCTACAAATTACGAACGATCCATTATAAAATTGGCCGTAATTAAATGTCGCGCAACAAGCGCTCGTCGTTTCGCCAATTACTCGGCGCTGGGCGATCATTTTCGCAAAGAGTCGCGCCGTTTAAACGCGCAACACCCACCGCACGTGTGCGCGTAACGTACACGAGCACACGATATTTATGTCCTCGCCCACAAGCAGCGTTTAAGCCTCATCTACAAGCTCTTCGCGCCTAGAAACATTGCGGGGGTTTTTTTTTTACCGAGCAAATCGAAACGCGTAGAAAATGTGCCGACAGTGTATGATTTTACACAGAAAAGAGGAATGTTCTTTTTTTTTTAAATATGTTTAGTTTCAACCGAGAGGGAAACCGCTGACCAAAACCTTGTACACCAATGCCTGGTAATGCCCAGTGGGCATTACTTTATCTTATTTATATCGTTTTATCTTATTTTATCTTACTTACTTTATCTTTATAATGCTCCAGCAAGGCCTAATGCCCAAACTAATGCCCAAAAAATGCCTAGTAATGCCCAGTAATGCCGCAAATCTGTACACCACAATGCCCTCAGCGGTTTCGCTCTCGGTTTCAACGTGAAAATCTTGGAATGAGATTACATTGCGTTGAAGGAAGAAAAACTTACTTAAAAATGAGGCAATTTTATATAATTCAACCAAGCAAAGTATACGCTTGTTATTTCAGAATAATTTTCTCGAATGGAAAGAAACAATGTTGGAGAGGAAATAACGTATTTTCAAAACGAAAATTGTAATGATTAAAGTGATTTTAAACAATAAAATTCATAAGGCTCTGACGTGAAGTCACAATTCGAAGGATCATCATTTAGACACTAGACACTAACACCCTTGGCTCTTATATATTTTCTTCCTTCGAATTAAAATGATTTTATTGTCAAAATAAGTATATGCATTCTTCAAGCGACAATTATAGTATTTAAATAAGACCGTAATATTGGAATGTAAGATTATTAAATGCTTCTGAGAAGATTATAGATTGTTGCGTAAATACGAAACAACGAACGCGTTAATTTGAGTATACAAGAGTTGATCTGACATCGTCAAATTTTTTAAACGTGTTTATCGGCTAGAAAACGGAGTGTTCCTAGACGCAGAGAGCACATTGTAGATTAGACTTTCCAGCTGGAGCGTGCAACTATATAATACTCGCAATAATGATCCTCCTATTATTAACGTTACACTATTTAAGAAAAATTAAATATAGATCTAACAATGCTGCGTCCCCCCCCTTCCCTTTCCTCCCCTCTTCTCTTTTTTTGCCGGCTTATTGTTAGTTCGGTCCGCGCGCGCAAAGCGCATTCATGCGACGACAAAGGTGCGCGGAGCCGTGAATTACGTAAATGATTGCAGTTCAAAGCCATTATGCAGGATTCCAAGATGTATCTCGCACGGCTCACTATATCGGGACGTAAGGGGGGTTCGATTTATCAAGATTATCAGCCCGCGAACGTAATACTCACGCGCTTAATTAATTTAGTAACGTCATTAGTCCGCCGCGACCCGAGGCTCCGTCGTTTCCGTGTACGATTGAGTACGTGACTGCACGGGGAGAATGTTCTCTTAAAATTTACCTGGAAAATCGTGGAGACAACGTGGCATTTTGAGGAACTTTATGAGAGCTTCCTGAAATTTTAAGTAAAATGTAGAGTAAAATTTAAAAAACTCACAAAGTTCTTCGAAACGCCACGTTGTCCTACGATCACGTGATTCTCAGGATCGCGAGACAACGCGGTGTTTCAAAGAATGTGACGAGTTTCTTGAAATTTTACCATACATTTAACTAGTAATTATGCTTAGTATACATTTTACCAACAAAATGTGTGTTAAAACTCCGAAAAAACTCCCACAAAATTCTTCGAAATGCCGCGTTGTCCCACGATTACACGATTTTCAGGATAAATCTTAAGAGAAAATTCTCTCCGCGTGCGAAAAATGTTCGCCTGACATTTCATACAAGTATTACTCGTAGATTCGTAGACTCACGTCCACTTCTATCAATGCAAATTGATCTAGATTTAACCTTCCTTTTGTCCATTTTCCAGTTCTAAGAGTTGGAAACAGGTGGAAGGTAAATCGATCGCAAGTTAATCTACATCGGTGGAAACGCACATTAATCAGATTTATCGATCGAAAGCTGTTAGCACATACGCGCGGCGTTGAAACGTATCGGTCTGCCGATATCTTTTACTATCAATTTCTTTCCAGAAAGAACGAGAGCTTATCCGGAGAATGTAATTATTGCATAAGAAAACCAACAGCCGCTATTATTGTTCCGCAGGTATTACCGGTTGCTCGCGGGGGGAATGTAGTATTAAAAATTGTCGAACTCGTTCAGCTACTTCCGGTTAATTCCCGTTTTCAACAAAAAAGTACAGATAGAGTCTCCTCCTGCTCGTGCATTAACCCATCATAGGCCGCCAACAATCCACGGGCTGCCAGAAGTAGGAAAATTCAGGACATTGAATCAAAATATGTAAAGCTACGAGAAAAATGATTCCGTACTTTCAAAATGGCAGACCGAATTTTCGAGGAAAGCAATTTTTTCCAGTGAAAAGTTGTATATTAGGGATTTCTTCGGGGGTCGCCGATTACGAATACGCACTCAGATTCCCGAAATTCAAGATGGCGGAGCCAATATGGCCGATCCCGTAGAAATCCAGATTGTTCGAAGAAAACTCGTTCTCACTCGACCCACACGCATCTTAAGCTCTTCAAAGCTATGAAATTTGGTCAAAATATAGAACATACGGAAAAGAACAAAGAAAAATTAGTTTTTACAATTCAAATTTAAGTTTTACGGCCGTATTGGGCCCGTCGTCTTGAATTGCGAAAATCTAAGTGCATATTCGTAATCGGCGACCCCCAAAACTCCGGTACGCAACTTTTCACCGGGAAAGAACTGTTTTCTTCCAACTTTGGTCCACCGTATTGGCCTGCCAGTTTGAATGTTAAGTACGGAAAAATTTTCTTTTCACAATTACACATATTTTGCTCTGATGTCCTGAATTTTTTAGTTTCTGTGCAGTCCACAGCCCGTAGATTGCTGGCGGCCTACAATGGGTCAAGATAGAGACGCAACTCTGCGAGGATAAATTTAGAATTTCCGTCAGCTCATAAAGAAAAAAAGAATCACCCTTGGTAGCATTTGCGTCTAATTAAATCGTCGGAATGACCGTGCGCGCGATAACTATGTCTAAATAATAGACTTATCAACGCAATCTTATCTTCAGAAATGTAGGCAGACGTCGGCAAGAGCCAATGCGAGGAATGAAAGAGTAGACGAGTCGAAGACTCGTAATTCTAAGCGAGTGTTCAAGCGCGGCCGATAAGAATCGGAATGTCATATCGCGCGAATAAACGCCTGGCCGCCGCGTCTCCTCTGCACGCCCGGGGCATCAAACGGGCTTGCCTCACCAATCACGAGCGCGATTAAGTAAGAGATTGGGAAAAATCTCGCACGCCTCGGTGGTCGAATTGGCGAGACGTCGAATCCGCCTAGAGCGTGGAGAGGTCCAGGTTCGAACCCTGGCTGAGGTGAATATTCCTCGCAAGAAATTTCTTTAATGAGAATCCGCCAGTTGTGTCGATTATCAATTTCCCGCGTTGTTCAATCACTTACAAGAAGTCCTTATTCTCGTGATTGCGACAAACGTCTGTCGACGTAACGTCTTTCAGTCTGCCAGAAAAGGAAGATCCCGCCGGGAGGGCAGAGTTTCGCGAGGGGCGAATCGAATTCCGTTTTGCGAAGGGCTCGGCGGTGGAGAATACGCGCGGGTCGGGATTGAGAGGTGGCGCGAATTTTTAAAGCCCACTCCTCCACCCGCATTTCTCCCCCGCGTTAATCGCGCGATTCTAAAGGTCTGTGTCCACGATGCTAGAACTTGGTCAAAGTTCGAGAAATGTGTGGCCAATCGACTTGCGGCTTTAATGGAATGGCCTGCAACTTGATTGGCTACACATTTCTCGAAACTAGAACCTGGGCCGAGTTCTAGCGTCGTGGACGCAGGTCTTTAACGAGAAGCGGCTCGGACCCTCGGCGAGAGAAATGACACGAGACACTGGCGACGGGTCCGGAGGTGACAAACGCGAGGAGGAGGCGCGGGAAGAGGCCGGCTCGTAGAAGGCGGAGGCCGAGGAGGAAATTTCGAAACCCCGCGAGAAGAGCGGTCGAGAGGGAACGAACACGCGCGCACCTGAGGAAGGTCGCCGGCGGGAGGATAAGAGGGGAGCCGCGCCATCCGTCATTAATCCACGATTGTTTTTTCGCGTCGTTTATCGCACGCCGCCACTATCGAATCTCAAGGTCGCGCCGTAAAATTATCCACGTCGTTCCAGTTTTACGAGAGTCTCTCGCTCGCGCTCTCTCCCTCTCTCTCTCGTTTCCTTCGCGCTGCGACGAGGGACGTGAAGGGATGTGTCGAAAGGGACCGCATCCTGTCTCGCGCGCGCGATGTGATCAATCAACCGTACCGAGAAATTTTCCAATTGCGTTATTCGCGTTCCCTCTCCTACCTCGGTGCACCTGAGGCGCCCGACGGTCGCGTGCGCGCGCTCATTCATCGTCTGGAAATGCGGGACTCCGGCGGAGCGTGTCGCGCGCGAGATTCTTTCTCCATTCGGTCCCGCGCGATTTCGACGAGGGGGATTCCTCGAGGGACACGGGGGGAGACGTCCGTAGCGCGGAACGCGGGCCCCCCGGGGAAACGGGGTAGGCGAGGCGAGGTTAGAGGCGGGCCCGCGGGTCAAGTGATCGGGGGACTTACGCCTTGTCCATCAGCTCCCGCACTTTCCACATGTTCATCATGTTGGCGCTGTCACTGCGCGACGGCACTCACGGCGTTACGAAACGTCAGCCTCGACGCGCGGTCGGTCCGTTGACGGGTTCGCAGTCGGCAGCACGTCGCTGAGAACGTTCACCAGATGTTTTCCGGAGCATCTGACAACCAGGACGGCACGGCCGAGCGGAACGTCACCAGGCGGTAGCCATGTTATCCCTTCCACGTTTGCACGGTACCTCACCGCGGTCACAGGTGTCTCCCGTGATCGCGCTTATGGCCATGAACCTTGTGGACATGACAGATTGACAATTCACACCAGAGACTCGTTGGCCGGTATCTTGAGATTGGGATTAGATTGAAATTTGACCAATTAAAGTAAAGCCCGTATCAGACTACGGATTGGGATTGGGATTAGATTGAAATTTGACCAATCACAGTAAAGTTTGCTAATCTCAAGTTTAGTGACTTTTACTCTTATTGGTCAAATTTCAATCTAATCTCAATCTCAATCCGTAGTCTGATGGGGGCTTAAAAGTTACTGAACTTAAGATTAGTAAACTTTACTGTGATTGGTTAAATTTCAATCTAATCCCAATCCGTAGTCTGATACGGGCTTTA